ATGCGGGCTTGTCCTAGCTAGGTGGGAGGCGAAAAAGCCTGTAAACCCTAAACCCCTACACCCCTAAACTCTAAACCCTAAACCCTAAACCTAAACTCTACGCCCTAAACCCTAAACCTCAAACCGGAGTCCGAGTTGCGAGAGCATAAACCGAAACCCTAAACCCTGAACCTCCCCAGAGACTCCAATATCCCTTAATTAAGGAATATACCCTTAAATCATATGAAGGATCCTACTATAATTTGAGGAATGTTCCTTAATTTAGGAATATACCTTAAATCATATGAAGGATCCTACTATAATTTGAGGAATGTTCCTTAATTTAGGAATATACCTTAATTCATATGAAGGATCCTACTATAATTTGAGGATTGTGCCTTAATTTAGGATTATACCTTAAATCATATTAAGGATCCTTCCATAATTTGAGGAATGCTCCTTAATTTAGGAATATACCTTAATTCATATGAAGGATCCTACTATAATTTGAGGAATGTTCCTTATAATTTAGGAATATTGGAGTCTCTGGGAACCCTGAACCTCCCAGGCTGGAGCGACAGAACGCTGGGCTCAACAAGGAGACCGAGGCAGCGTGAGCAGTTTAGGGTTTAGGGTTTAGGGTTTAAGGTTTAAGGTTTAGGGGTGGGGTTTAGGGTTTAAGGTTTACGGTTTAGGGGTGGGGTTTAGGGTTTAAGGTTTAGGGGTTTAGGGTTTAGGGTTTAGGGAGCAGTTAGCCTTTGGGTTTAGCGCTGCGGCTGTAAAGTGTAGGGTTTAGGGGGATCCACGGCTTTTTATCTCAAGTGCTTCTGAAGGGTTTGGAGGGTTTGGGTTCAAGTCGGTTCAGGTTCCAGAAGTTCGGTTTGGGATTTTCGGGGTTTGTCCTTGGGACTGTTGACATTTTTTTTTCGCTTAGTTCCGGCAGGATGTTATTTCAGAGTCGATCTGTCCAGTGAGTGGGACAAGGTGTCCACAGAATGAGCCGGCCTGCGACCATAAAGGAAAAGCCCAAGTACAAACCCAAAGCCGTAATGTAGGGGCCTTCATAAACTACCTATACGATTTTGGGGTTCCTTGTCATAACTATAGTATAATGGGCCCCAAAACCCTGTTCTCATTATTCAGGCCCCTATAGTAGCACCCTCAATGTAATCAAGGAGCGTGCGTCCTGTCAAATTTCAGAATCTTTCATGTTTGGAAGAAGAACGTAGAGCCACATCCGACCAGCCCTAAGTTTGGTCAGCCGCGGTTTGTGCAATCCTGCTTTTCTTTAGAAGTGTGGATTTAGGGCTCTGGTTGCTATCACAATGTGTATTGGCCGGGCGCCGGTTTCTGATGGTGGTGGCGAAAATAAAAGCTACTGATGATCGTGGCCGTCCGGCTGTGGCTCGTGCGCGTTCGGATTGTAGGTGCTGCTCGCAGAAGTGGCAATATATACGGTTTTACCGTGCTTATATTTGCTATCATGACTTTTCCTCGCTGTTTTGTCAGCATCGGAAACGAAGCCGTTATTTTCAGAGGTCAAGTTCAACAACTACTATTCCGTCCATGCGGACAACACCGCCCAGTGGCCGACGCACCTTGGTGCAGCTGGGAACACATGGTTGGTCATCTAAGGTTGAAGGTATCAGATCTGGCATGTCAGGTTTGGGGAAAATTGATGGAGTCCTTGATGTCTTGAACTCTCCCAAATGCGCCGGCTGTTTGCGTGTGGCTGCAGATTGGCCCGAGCTTTCTGCAGCGGTTTGTCTGCCAACTCCAAACTTGACACGCGCCATGTCCGTGACTTGGCTTGTCTTGCTGTCCATGCCGGCCCTTGCAGCGGGCATGCGGGCTTTCACACAGGAGAGCGTAACTAACGCCCATGGTGAGCGAGCAGGCGCTCGAGGCGAAGCCTGCCACGTATGTGGTGAAATGGGACTACATCTACGGCAGCGTTCTGGACGGTGAGTACGTTGAAGCTGGCACTAGGAATGGCAAGCCCATGTACAAGCAACGAAATGGTCCCGGCATCATCTTCCACGAAAGCTATGGGCGCAAACTACCAGAAGACGAAGGCGCACCAGGCTGGAAGGTTGGCTTTGACGACCGATCCGCACACTTCAACAGCCATTTGCGAGCTGTCAAGAAGGGCTCGGTGAAGGATGATGTTCCTCCTGAGGGGAAGTATTGGATCCAAGGAAGACAAAACTCCTGGATTGGGGAGAACTATTTGAACCTTCACGCTTTCGTCAAGCGCAAGGTTGCGACATAATCCGTGGCCGGCCCTACAGTGCCCTGACTCCGAGGAGAAGAGCGTGCCAGGGCTCTTCCCGGAAATTTTAACAGGGGCCCGGTCCCACCAGAAAGTCTGCATCTCTTCGCCTCAGGAACAACCTCGCCTGCGTTGCAGAGTCGTGAGAGTCTAAGCCCTAAACCCTAAATCCTAAACCCTAAACCCTAAACCCTAAGCCCTAAACCCTAAACCCGAAGCCGAGGAACCGGGGAAGCGTCCACCACAAGTGGCCCAGTCCGTCGGATCCCCAGAGTTCTCCTAACACAGGGCCTTGGGGATCAAAGTTTAGGGCTTGGGGTTAGTTTAGGGTTTAGGGTTTAGGGTTTAGGGTTTAGGGTTTAGGGTGTAATGTAGAGGCCTCAACAATTACCTATATCACTTTGGGGGCTCCTTACTATAATTATAGTCTAATGGGCTCGAACACCCTATTCTAGTTGTTAAGGCCCCTACATGTTTAGGGTGTAGGCCTTCTCTTGGGGTGAGAGTTGAGGGTTTAGGGGGGTTAGGTAGTATTGTTAGGGGTACCCCTTAAAGGGTACCCCTTCCGAACCCTACTTTTGGCTCTCTTAAAAGGGACCTTATTGAGAGGGTCTATATCCCGAAGGGTCCCCCTAGTCCTAGCTCCCAGGGGTGAGATGGGGTCAGGGTTGCAGTTGCGGGTGCAGGGCTGTGATTACCGGGTTTTCGCGGTAGATCAGAGTATATCCGGGACTGCAAGGGGAGATTGTTACTGTAGAGGTCAGAACAACCAGTAGTACTGTTCAAGTGGAGTCGCCATACAACTCTACTCTAATATACACCAAGAACCGCTTGTTGAGACCTACTTTTTGAAACCCTTCAAAACCCTAACCCTAAACCCTAAACCCTAAACCCTAAACCCTAAACCCTAAACCCTAAACCCTAAACCCTAAACCCTAAACCCAAATTAGAAGAATTGGGGGTTTAGAGGATTTCAAGGGTTTCGGGTGCCTGGATTCGGTCGGGTTGCAGGGTTTCGCGGATACGAGCCTTGGTTCACGAACCGTTTCGGAGAGATTTCGGATTTTTGGTTCCGGGAGGGTCTTTTTCATGGTTTATTAAAGGGTTGAGGGTTTAGGGTTTAGGGGTTTAGGGTTTAGGGTTTGGGTCTTTTCATGGTTTATTTTAGGGTTGGTATGCACTTCCATTCCGGTTCTTTCCAGGATGCAGCCATCCCTTCGGAGATTCGGCTGCCAGGGGTGTGTTTGCATGATTCGGGGTGAGAAACTATATAGGTAGGATGCTTATTATAAGGGCCCCAAAATAAGATACCACCTCTTTTCGGAAACTCCCACATGCAGCGAAATTGTGACACAACTGCAGTTGAAGAGGATGTGTTCCGCTGCAGAAAAACGATGGTCTCTGCCACTGTTCCACGAAAAACGGTTACGAAGCCCTAAGCCTCAAAGAAAGGCTGATTCTGGTTTTTGGTAGTGGCCCGCTTTGTGTTTAAAAAGCTTTGAAAGACCAGTTCTGAAGCTAAAGCCATTGTGGGAGGCCGGTTTAGGGTTCAGGGTTTAGGGGTTTCCTGCATATCCTGACTTTGCTAGTGTGGTCGAAGTGACTGCATATGTCTTTCCCCGGCCGACTTCCCAAGCCCGGATGCAAAAAGGGTTTAGGGGTTTCGTTCTGTGTTTGGCCTTGTTCAGAGAACGGGTGCGACAAGTCCAGGCGGAATTGACGCAAGCCTGTGCAAAAAAGGGTTTAGGGGTTTGTTCGTAGCAGAGGCTCTTGCAGACCCTAAGCCCTAAACCCTAAGCCCTAAACCCTAAAGCTGGATGCAAAAGGTCACGAGACCACTAGAGCCTTAAACCTGAAAGGTTTAGGGTTTAGGGTTTCTGGGAGTAAGGCCGGCGAACCTGGATCAGAATGGATTTGGACCGCTACAGTACAGGGCTTCACGGCGCAGGGGTCGAGGTTTGAGGGGTTTCGGGTTGTGGAACATCAAGCACGGCCTTTAGTTGGACTCAGGTACCACTGAGCTGCCTGTGAGCCTGTGCGCCCTAGCACCACGCCACACCAAAACCAAGGCTAACATGGGGGCCTTAATAATTACCTCTACAATTGTGGGGGTTCGTAGTTCATTGGGCCCCAATACCCTATTCTAATTTTTAAGGCCCCTATATTACAGCCCTGGATCTCACCGGGGTCCCGTCGAGGCCCCTTCGCCTGTCATTGCGGCCTACTTCCAGTCTCTGGCAAATAGTGGTCGATAGCGGTTTAGAGTTGAGGCTAGACCTCAATGTTTGCCGATTAAGTTGAAGACAAAGCCATTTCTGCAACAATTTCGGCGACTTCTCGCATCATTAATTTTCTCGCTACACTTACTGTTAGTCCCCCTTGCCGTCCCCGTCCTAAATCAGTCTACCGGATGATTGGGGAAGAGCAGGCCCCAATCCAGGACCATGCCCGCAAGCAGGAGGAGCTTTCTGTGTCACCCGACCACCTGGAGATGTTAGCTTCCATTCTCTATGCTTCGGTTCCGCATACTCGAAGCAGATCTCTGGAAACTGCCCTTCTTGCCGCTGCTCCAGGGATCATTGTGGCTTGAGCACGATAGGCATCCGATGCAGTTGCAGTCAGGTGTTCCACAGGTCATCGGCTGACCATAGGTTTCGCAAGCTTGGCTTTGAGTGTGGCTTAAGTTCTACCGCCACTGCCACCACCACCACCACCACCACCACCACCACCATCACCACCACCACCACCACCACCACCACCACCACCACAATGTTTGCTGCCAATACGTACTGCGGCTGCTTCTACTTCTACTGCTGCTGCGGCTGCTACTGCTACGACTGGTCCTGCCGTTGCTGATGCTGCTGTTGCTGTTGCTACTACTGCCGCAGTGGCTGCTGCTCCTACTTCTCCTACTCCTTACTGCTACTACTACTACTACTACTACTACTACTACTACCACTACCACTACCACTACCACTACTACTACTACTACTACTACTACTACTACTATTATACTACTACTACTACTACTACTACTACTACTA